TGAGTTCTAGGTTTCTGACTTGGATGACTGGTTAAATGGTAATAAGAGTAACCAAGTTCAAGAATATAGGGGGATCATCCAGGAGGAGGAAAGAAGAAAAAGGGGTATTTATACTATGGAGATTACAATCTATAATCTTTATAGTTGTTGTAATAGCTATTATATTGAGGGGTTTTAAACCCTATACTAAAAATTTTACTTACATTATCTCATTTAATTCTTACAGCAACTTTATGGTATTTTATAGTGATTTCTACAGAAGTTTTGATATTAGATATGAATCATGACCTTTTGTTGCAGTTAGAAATATAAGATAGAGATGTTTGAGTGAGGGTGTGTAGTTGGGGCTTAACAGGGCCAGCATGGGGGCCTCAGCTTTATAGGTCGAGGAGTAATTGTACTTGGGATGACTGACTAAGAGATTGGTGCATAAATAAGAATGCCAAATTACTGTTTATAGAAAAAAAAATACCGCTAAGTGGATTGCAGTACTCACATCAGCTGATCAGATTTTTTCACTGCTGAGGGAAAAAACAAATCTACTATGAGAAGCTACATTAAAATTGGAAATTGATTGGTGGGCAACCAAATGGTTGGATGATCTTAACAAACTGTTATCAACCTGGGATGACTTTCCGTATAATGATGTACTGAGAACTGTGATAGCATTTTACTAGAGGGCAAATTAGAATACTGGAGTTGCCTGTCAGAGAACTTTCTCTGTGGATAATGCTGCCGGTACATTGACAAATTATTTTTCTCATTGTCTCTCCAGGCTGCATACAAACCATGTCCTCTCTCTTAAACCAATCATTTTTTCCCCCCAGACAAAGACACATAATTTTAATCTTTTTAATTGTAATTCCATTCTGGTAATTTCTCTATTTTTTTTTTAAAGCCAGTTGGACTTCATGATCTCCTTTTCTACAAATCTCTTTTTCTATAGTTGTTATCTCTATGTTTTATTTACGTACTTAACTGTTGTCTGAGGTAGTTACCTTATTTGCCAATATAACATTGTTTCTGTGGGAAATTAGAAATGACTATTTCGCTTTAAAATGCCTTCCTTATTTTGAAATAGTTCATTTAATCATTTTAAAATGAGAAGTTTGGAATAGACTGTGCCAAAGTTTCTATCAATTTTTATTTTTATGATATATTTCTGAGTAATCTCAGTATTTGATATTTTAATTATGGTTATTTTATAGCGTAGTTTACAACATCTGTGTAAGTGGGATTATACAACAGAATAGATTTGTTCTGAAATGAAAACTTTCTGTCTGGAAATCTGAATTTTACATTCTAATATTAGGATTTGATTCACTTTGTAGCATGTGATCTTGAAGGGATTAAGATTATTTTTGTCACTCCTGAAAGTAGCCTGGAATTACCATCCTTCTCTCGTTCCCTCAGTTTAGTCATTGTACTTAGAGAGGAAAAAGCAAAAAGACATGAAGTAGAATAATGAGCAAAGAGGCAATAAGCTTTCAGGAATACAGATGTATTTCTGTTTAAGTGTCTTAGCAGTTTTCTGAGTCATTGGCACTTCGTTCTGAGGGGCTTAGCTTTTCCTAACTATTCACTTACTGAGTGCAAGACAAGAACAAGAAGTAAGTGGCGGCCCCATCTCAGCAGAAGACTGATGCTCCTCTTTCCCTTTCCTTCCTTTGAGCTGTTGGCAGTAGAATATGGGACTGGACTTCAGACACTGGAGTAGAAGACAGTGGAAAATGTGATTGCATAAGAACCTACTTCTCAGGAATACTATTCAATAGTGTGACTTAAAAAAAACCTTGAAGTTAGCATGATCCACATTTTATAAATTAAAACTTATTGTAACATACATATACACATATCTTGACTAAAAGTAGTAAAGGTGCAAATTAGAAGATTTTAATGTAGTAAGCCCAAATATTTGTGTTTTTAATTTTTAATTTATTTTTTTATCGAAGTAATATATATGCAGTTAAGTCAAATAGGACTACAACGCATATAATGAAAGATAATTGTATTCTACTTCATCCCTCTTCACCCTTTCTCTCCACCTCCCCCAATGACTTGCAGCTTATCCTGAAATTCCTTGATTTATCAATGGTAGACATTATTTTCTGATTTCATCTTATGGAAAATGAAGATTTAAAACTGTTAACACCATCTATTACCAGCATTCCTCTCAGCATAGTTAGATCACAATTTTTGTTTAAATCAATTGCAAGGATTTTTATTCTTTTTAACGCTTACATTTTGTTTCTAATGCAACTTCTTTTCCCCCATATGATTAAACACTTGCATCTTCTAAACCTTCCATCAGAAATGTAAAACCCCTGTAAATTTTATTTCTCACTTGATCAAGTACATAGGAAATAATGTATGGCATTAGCATCTGATTATGTCAAATCCAACTTTAATAGTATAATGTGGTACCACTACTTTTCCCCATTAAGAATCTGAATCACAGTTTCCATAATATCTTGTATCTTAGTCCACTGAATGAAAAGGGTTAGAATCCTTAATAATTACTGAAAATGAACTAAAGCAGGGAGTTTTAATCTTACATAAGGTCCATGAATGAACTTTGGGTGTTTGCGGACTCCCTCAAAATTGTAGTAAAGATTTTATGTGCGTTTCTCTGGGGGAGAGTCTGTAGCTTGCCGCGGATTTCCGTAGAAGTCTCTCACCCCTGAACAGTTTAGTAACAACCACTGAAGGCCATCTTTAAGCCGTGATTCTCAATATACTTGGGTTAAAGACCTGATTTAAAATAGGGTAAAAGCTATAAACTTTCAAATTTGAGTACAGTTTTAGAGGTTCTTGAATCTTCTAGAACCTATTCTCAGACTTCTTGGATTTTTTTAGCTGGGATTCATAAACTACTGCCATTAAAGAAATATGTTGAGTCATTTTGGGTCTTGATCTCATTGTTTTAAAGGCTCACAGTTTCATTTCCACCGCCTGTCTGTCAGTTGTACTTTGGTGGCTTGCATGTTGCTGTGAAGCAACCAGCAGGGACACCCATGGTGGACGGTTTCCAGCAGAACTTCTAGACTAAGACTAGGAAGAAAGGCCTGGTGATCTCCTTCCAAAAATTAGCCAATGAAAACCCCATAGATCACAAGGGAGTATTTTCTGACATAGTGTTGGAAGATGAGCCCCCCCTAGGTTTGAAGGCACTTTAAATACACAGTGGCCACAACAGTGTACCAGTAATTATGTATATGGTGCAGGACCAGTTACCCTTTCATTCTGTTGTATATGGGGTCTCTGTGAGTGGGAGCTGACTCAACGGCAACTAACAACAACAACGAATTTTCACCTGTGCACATTCTTATTCTGTTATCTTCAGCCTGTTTCACCGTACATTTATAACTTTTGTCTATCTCTCATATGTGTCATCTTATTTAAAAAAATCTCAATATGTTGTTGTGTTGTTAATTGCCATCGAGTTGGCTCTGATTCAGAGACCTTATGTATAACAGAACGAAACACTGATATTGTTTTGCTCTTTTATGCTGCATTTGAAAATCTTTAAAGATATTCCTTTTTTTTCCCAAATTTTCCCTTTTTGGGAGGCAGGAAGGTGATACACATACGCTGTGCACACCAAGTCCAACACTCTTTACATGAAATTTATTTTAGGTCCCAATCTTATAAAAACACTAAGTGGAGAATGTATTAAGGGGATTTTTTTCCAATTATATTATGATTTTATCCACATAAACTCTTTCTGTTAAGAAAAGTTTCTGGCGTATGGTAAGAAAAGTTGCTTCTAATTTTACTCTTCTTCAGGAGGGAAGTCTAGCTTTTTCGTTAAGAAACATTCATTGCTTGATAATTAGTTCTTCTCTTTTGAACTTGGACTTTTAAATTTTTGATGGTCTTTAGAATAACTTTGGCTTTTTTGCTTTGGAAATACTTTGTTACCGATTCTTAAATTTTAAATACTAAGTTACAGTAGTTGCCTTTTTGTGTGTTTTGATCTAAATTGAATTTGCACAACTAATGACATGCATCAGATTTTAACTCTGCATTTCATGATAATCTGCCATCTACAAAATTTGTCTTAATTATCACTAGTTCTTGTAGTTTTTGTTACCTGGTTTGTTTATTAACTCTTCCATTAATAGATGCTATTCAGATTGAACCCAAGAGATTTCACAAAGCCAAAAGTGTGTCTTCATTTTAGGGTACATTTGTTTCTCCTTCTGTTTTTTTCTTCCTATGTTTCCTTTTTGTAGCACTCCCATTCTATCTTGATTCTATTCCACAAATAGTGATAGTTCGTTTACTGATCAAAATGTCAAAAGTTGCACATTTGAGAATAGTATCAATGTAGTTATAACAAAACCTCTTAATAAGTAACATCCTACAATGCATGGGGTCGCCCTGAGTCAGAGGCAACTCAAAGGCAACTAACAACAACACAATGTTCCTGGTGGCCAAATTAAAAAGGAAAAATAAAAAATAAGAGAGAGAGAATAAACTCAAGGTCAGTTTAGAAAAAGGAAAAAAGAAAAAAAAGAATGCTTAAAAGTCAGAAAATAACATAGTAGCCAGGCATATTAGACCATTCCCATTTCTTCAATTGAAATTATCGACATCACTCAGAAAAATAATCTAATGATAGTTATTACCCCTGATTGCTGCTTGTTGAGATGTGGTAGTGATAGTAACCCAGACATTTTCCAGTCATTCTTTCATTTAAAAATCTGCAACATCTAATTTGTTAGAGGACCTTGCAAACGTAATTATTTTTTGTTGACCTTTATTTTTTCTAATTCAATAGGATTCATTTGAGCCTATTCTTGAAATAAATATTTTACAAGCTAAAAAAAAAGAAAGTTGTACATTTGAAATTTAGAAATATTGATTTTCTGTTTATCTGTAAGGGCCTGGTATTTTTTTGAAGAGCAACATTTTTATGTGATTTCAAGATTTTATTTTGAATACACTTTGTAAAGAAAATGATATAAATATCAAAATAATATAAATTTGACTTTCAGTGCAATGCGTGTTTTACTGTCTAAATTACCAAGACCTTGGATTGTGGATGAGAAGAAAGATGATGGGTATACTGCCTTGCATCTGGCTGCCCTTAATAATCACGTAGAAGTGGCTGAGCTGTTAGTACATCAGGTAAGAAAAGCAGTTCAATAATTTTAACAACTTTGGACCATTGCCATTCATTCATTTATTCCTTCATCAACTGCTTAGGTTACGGTAAAACCTCATGATGATGCAAATTCAGATATGATGCATCTTCCATCTCTGCCTAACACTGGTTTGTAAATTGGGGTCAGGGGGCGTGAATCCCTGAATCTCTGGTATTCCCTCCACACAGTCTTCCTGCATTGGGCTAACAAAAAAGGGCATCAACTAGCAAGGATTTCCCAGAATCACTGTCACTGTCAGAGAAGTGAATATCAGTCAGTCACAGGACCAAGAACTGCCCATGTTGATATTTAAGTTGGGGTGGCCATTCGCTGTCGGGTGACACCAGATTGCAGCTATCTGGGGATTTGGTTCATGACTACTGCTGGACCCCTGGAATTCCTGGCTGGATAGCATTACTGGCTTGCCTTGGTTATTTCATTCATCCCAGAAATAAGAAGACCTCACATTTTTATGAGATTGGATTTTTTTAGAATCTGCTTATTGCAGTTTTATGAAGGTTTAGTATATTCAGCAAAATTTTTAAATGCCTCAGTAAAGCTTATAGCCATATAGTTGCACTGAAATTACCAAAGAATTCTCTGTAATCTTTGATTGCAAGGAGTTTATAGTCTAGTTAGATTAGACAGCTAAAAAATATAGTAAATAGTACATTATATGTAATTAAGTACTAGATTGTAAGACAGACACTCCAAACACTAAAGAAAAGAAGAAATAGTTCAAAGTTAAACCACCTTTCTTCCGCTGCAATTTTAACCCTTTACGATTAAAATTACTACTCTTTAAAAGTATTGTTAATTATTGATAAATTCCTTTTCATTCAAAACTAAATAACTAGTGCCATACCACACTAAATTGGTTATTATTGCCTTATGGTAAGTCTTGAGGCAGAGTATGCCCTCCAACTTTCTTAGAATTACTTTAATATTCTAGATCTTTTGCATTTTTCCATATAAATCTTAGAATCAGCTTTTTTAGTTTCTATAAAAGAGCCTATTGGGAGTTTAGTTGCTCTTGTACCTATTTTATTAGATTTATCCCTAAATATTTCATATTTTTACATGCTTATTTTACCTACTGTTTTCAAATTTCAGTTTCCAGTTGTATACTGCTAGTATATACAAATACAGTTTTTGTTTGTTTGTTTGTTTTTTACCTGTGACCTTGCTTAAATTTACTTATTCTTTCTAGTACCTTTTTGTAGATTCCTTAGTATTTTCTGCATAGATGGTCATATAAATGAAAGGAATAGAACAGAGAATGCAGAACGAGGACCATACGTATATGGTCAATTAATTTTCAAAAACTATGCCAAAGTAATTTAATGGGAAAAGAGTAGTTTCTCAAAAATAATTCTAGAACAAGTGGGTATCCATATGCAAGGGGAAAAAAAAGAATTTTGACCTTTATTTCACACCATATGTAAAAATTAAATGAGTCAAGGCCTGAACATAAAAGCTTAAACCTTAAGTAAAGCTTTTAGAGGAAAACACAAGATCTTCTGACTTAGAGTGGACAAACCTTTTTAGCATGCAAAAAGCCATAATTACTAAATTTAAAAAGTGATTAATTAGACTTTGTCAAAATTTTAAGCTTCTGCTCATCAAAGACACTGTTAATAAAACAAATAGGAAAATCACACTAGAGAAAAATATTCATAAAACATATTTGACAAAGGACTGGAATACAGGATATATAAAGAACTTCTACAACTCAATAATAAAAGCTCAAATAATCCTATAAAAAACCTTATAAAATGCAAAAGGTTTAACCATACACTTTATAAAAGGAGATATACAGTTATCAAATAAGACATAAGTACCATTGGTCATTAGAGAGATAGAAGTTAAAATCACAATAAGATGCTGCTAATCACCCATTGGAGTCTCTGGTTGGTGCAAATGGTTAACACAATTGGCTGCTGACCAAAAGTTTGGAAATTTGCGTTCACCCAGTGGCGCCACAGAAGAAAGGCCTGGTGATATAACTCCAAAAATTCAGCCATTGAAAATCCTGTGGATTTGAAAAGATAGAGAAGGAAGAAATACTCCCTAGTTCATTCTATGAAGCAAACATAACCCTGATACCCAAACCAGACAAAGACACTATGAGAAAAGAAAATTACAGGGCGATATCTCTTACGAATATAGATGCAACATCCTCAACAAAATACTCACAAACAGAATCCAAAACCGTATTAAAAGAGTCGTACACCATGACCAAGTGGGATTTATTCCAGGAATGCAGGGATGGTTCAACATTAGAAAATCACTCAGTGTATTACAGTATATCAATAGAACAAAGGAAAAGAACCACATGATGATCTCTGTGGATGCAGAGAAAGCATTTGATAAAATCCAGCACCTTTTCTTGATGAAAACCCTAATGAAGATTGGAATGGAAGAGAAATTCCTCAGTATGATTCAGGCATATATGAAAAGCCAACAGCCAACATTATACTTAATGAAGAAAGACTGAGAGCTTTCCCCTTGAAATCAGGAACAAGACAAGGGTGCCCACTCTCACCACTTCTATTCAGTATCGTATTAGAAGTCCTAGCCAGAGCAGCAAGACAAATAAATATATAAATAAAAGTTATCCAGATTGGAAAAGAAGAAGTAAAATTATCTGTGGATGATATGATCCTATATATAGAATATCCCAAAGAGTCCACAAGAAAACTTCTAGAGCTAATAGAAGAATTTAGCAAAGTTGCAGGGTACAAGGTCAACAAGCAAAAATCAGTTGGGTTTCTGTACACCAGCAATGAGAAATATGAAAGGGAAAGTAGGGAAACAATTCCATTTACAATAGCATCTAGAAGAATAAAATACCTAGGAATAACTCTAACCAGGGATGTGAAGAACTTATACAATGAAAACTATAAAACACTCCCGAATGAGATTAAAGAAAACTTAAATGGAGGGATGTTCCATGTTCATAGAGTGGAAGACTTAATATTGTTAAGATGTCAGTATTACCCAAAGTGGTCTATAGATTCAGTGCAATCCCGATCAAAATTCCAACAGCTTTCTTTACAGAAGTAGAAAAACCAATCCTCTTCTTTATATGGAATGACAAGAGGCCCTGAATAGCTAAAACAATGTTGAAAGAGAAGAACAAAGTGGGAAAACTCACACTTCCTGATTTTAAAACACACTGTACAGCTACAATAATCAAAACAGCCTGGTACTGGTATAACAATAGACACAGACCAATGGAATAGAATTGAGAGTCCAGAAATAAACCCACACATCTGTGGTCAATTGATTTTTGAAAAGGATGCTAAGTCCATTTAATGGGGAAAGAAGAGTCTCTTCAAAAAATGGTGCTGGGAAAATTGGATTTCTACATGCAGAAAAATGAAACAGGATCCATACCTCACACCATACACAAAAACATTAAAAATGGATTAAGGACCTAAATGTGCAAACTAATACCATGAAATTCTTAGAAGAACAAGCAGGGGCAACACTGTCAGGCCTAACTTTCAACAGTGGATTATCTAATATAATAACAAAGGCGCAAACAGCAACAGCAACAGACAAAAAAAAAAAAAATGGGATCTCATAAAAATGTAAAACTACTGTTCATCAAAACAGTTTACCAAAAATGTGAAAAGACAAGCTACTGACTGGGAGAATATCTTCGGAAACCATATGTCGGACAAGAATCTAATATCCTATATATATATATATATAACTTCAACAACTTAACAACAGAAAGGCAAATAACTCAATCATAAAATGGGCAAAGGACTTAAGTAGACATTTCACCAAAGAGGACATTCAGATGGCCACCAAACACATGAAAAGATGCTCAGTGTCATTAGCCATCAGAGAGATGCAAATCAAAACCACAATGAGATACCATTTCACTCCCACTAGGATGGCTAAGATAAAAGCAAAACAAACAAACAAAAATCCCAGAAAATAACAAATATTGGTGAGGATATGGGGAAATCGGAACCCTTATCCATTGCTGGTGGGAATGCAAAATAGTACAACCATTGTGGAAAACAGTGTGGCAATTCCTCGTTAAACTAAAAATCGAGCTAGCATATGATCCAGCAGTTTCACTCCTAGGTATATACCCAAAAGACTTGTAAGCAGAGACTCAAAAAGAGACATGTACAACAATGTTCATTGTAGCACTATTTACAATAGCCAAAAAAATGGAAACAACCTAAATGCCCATCAACAGATGAACGGATAAACAAAATGTGGTACATACATAAAATGGATTAGTACTCAGCCAGTAGGAGAAATGAAGTCTTGATACATGCTACAGTATGGATGGTGCATGAAGACATTATGCTGAGTGAAATAAGCCAATCACAAAAGGACAAATATTGTATGACCTCACTTACATAAAAAGACAAGAAAAGGCAAATGTACAGAAACCAAAGTTTATTACTGGTTATCAGGGGTGGTAGGAAGGGGGAAAGGCGGGTGAGTGGTGATGGAAAGATTACACTGATTAAGGGTAGGGTTACACAACTGATTACTGTAATAGCTGTCAACAAGTTGTACACTTGTAAAAAGTTGAATTGGCAAAAGTTCTGTGATAAATATATTTATAAAAAATAAAAATAGCTGCTAAGGCTGCTTATGTACAACTAAATACCCCATGGGACTTGGTTACTTTGTTTGGAAGTTTAGGGTCATAGTTTCACGGGACTTCCCAGTTTATTGGCCTAATAACGTGTTTAGTGCTTCTGTTTTACATCCTGGTTTGTTGCGTAGTGCCTGGGGTCTTAAAAGCTTGCAAGCGGCCATCCAAGGCAGCTTGCAAGCGGCCATCCAAGGCACAACAGTTGGACTGTATTCACCTGGAGCAACAGAGGAAGAAGGAGAGTCAGGAACAAGAGGAGGATATGGAATGTGTGGCTAATTGCTTCCATGAAGAACTACCTCCTTTGCCAGAAGACCAGAAGAACTGGATGGTGCCCAGCTACCGTTACTGAACATTTTGATCAAAGATTGCATAGAATAATCCTCATCAAAAGGGGGACAATGCAGAATAGAATTTCAAATTTTCATGGACTCCAGACTTTCTGGAGCCAAGGGAACTGGATGAACCCCTGAAACTATTGCCCTGGGATAATCTTTACACCTTAAACCAAAAATATCCCCTGAAGTCATTTTAAAACCAAACAGTAGTTTAGCATAACTAGTAAAAAATGTCTGCCTTGAACATTATGCTCTTTTAGGAACTATTTATATGGGATCAAACTGACAACAGCAACTCAAAAGTTAGCTAGGCACCTTAGAGGGCAGTGAGTTTATGTTAATGAGGGAGGAACAACCCAAAAGGAGGTTGAGAATGGTTGCACAGCTCAAAGAACGTAATCAGTGTTACTGACTTCTACATGTAGAAACTATTGGATTGGTGTGTTTTTCTGTTTATATTCTCAACAAAAACAAAATAAATAAAATTTGGAAGGGAAAAAAAAATGTGACAACCAAAATGGAATTAATAAGAATATTGTCACATCTTGAAAAATGTAATTAATATCACTGAATTATTTGTGTGAAAATTGTTAAATGGGAATCTAATTTGCCATTAAAACTATCACCAAAAACACAATAAAATATTATTTTAAAAAACGGAAAACTCTGTGGAGCATAGTTCTATTCTGACACATGGAATCGACTTATACAAAGTTATACATGTATTTACTATGCAACCCAGTGATCTCACTTTTAGGTATGTAGTCAAGAGCACCGAAGACGTATTTCCACGTAAATAGTTGTACTGAATGTTTGCAACAGCTTTGTTTACTTCCCCAAACTGGAAGTAAGCCCAGTGTTCATCAACTGCTGAACAAGATAAATTGTGATACATTCATCCAATGGAATACTGCTTCCAAAATCCCACTGCTGTCTAGTCAATCCCAACTCATAGACACCCTGTAGAACAGAGTAGAACTGCCCCATAGGGTTTCCGAGGCTATAAATCTTCACAGAAGCAGACTGCACATCTTTCTCCCGTGGAGCAGCTGGTGGGTTCTAACCGCCAACCTTTTGGTTAGCAGCTGAATGCTTAACCACTGCACCACCAGGGCTGCTTGGAATACTACTTAGTAAAATCTAAATGATGGAAAGCTCAGAAAAAATAAAAAGAAAATCTTCCACTGTCTGCATTTATATGAGAACAGACATAATAATAAAACAAGCTGAGATCAGGTACTTCATGACCCCACCCCAAAACTTTATAAATAATAAAAACAAACCAGAAACACTCATATTCTGGAATGTGGCGTAGCATTACTGGAGTTTCAGCTCCATGTGATATCCCAGGCAAGGGCACAGATGGTATCAAAGTTGGAATCAGAGGATATGAATTGTTCCAATACCTAAACAGAATGGTAAAGTTTATCTTTTGAATCATGTGCCCTGTGCTTAATGTCAGTTGTTTTTTTATTCTGGCAGACACTGTGGCAGGCATTTTTACATGTATCTGTCTTAATCCTCACAATGACCTGGGCAGCAGGTTGCACTGTCACCATTTTGGAACTAAGGAAATAGGCATGTAGTGGTTGGTTACTCGCTTAAGTTCACACAACTTACAAGTGATAGAGTTTAATATTTGAATTTAGGTCCTTTGACTCCAAGTTCAGTGCTTTTGTTCCTCGGTCCCCTCTCTCCATCTTTAGGCATCAGTTGCTCTCATATAGTCCACACTGGCTGTCCTAGGATGGTGGGTAGGACTTTTCTCCATCTTAGTGTATTAATTAAGCATGGCTTTTTCTTACCCCTAAGCACAGTTCCTTTTCTCGGAATGAGAAAGAGCATAGTCATGGCAACAAGAAAAAGTGACCTTATTAGGTCATTTAAAAAAAAAAAAACCTGTTGCCATCAAGTCAATTTCGACTCATAGCGACCCTGTAGGACAGAGTAGAACTGCCTCATAGGGTTTCCAAGGAGCAGCTGGTGGATTTGAACTGCTGACCTTTTGGTTAGCAGCTATAGCTCTTAATCACTGTGCCACCAGGACTCCAGGACGCCAGGTCATTAAAGTAAATCTGAATCCAATATGAAGGCTCATAAATATAACTTTTTGGGAAATATTTACATTTAAAAGAAGCTAATTACCTCCATTCCCTATCATGGAGATTGAAAGGGAGCTGTTTTTAGGCTTTGTACTGTACTTTGCCCTTTCTGTGTTCTTAGGTGGAATCACCATAATAAAAATAATTTTTAACTTGATGTTCTCCTTCAGAAGGGTTGCTGCCCCGTCCGCTTCTTGCTATGTTGCCAGCCAGTATTACCGTACGAGGGTAACGGCAGCAACTGACGGGGAGAAATTTAAGGAGGGGCAAGTGGTCAGCAGTGTCCAAGGTTCTTTATTCCATACAAATAGTTATGGCTTTAATGTTCTTTACTGTTGTCAAAATTTAAGTATGTGAAATTTGTTTTTCTTGTTCAGGGTAATGCAAACCTGGATATCCAGAATGTTAATCAGCAGACTGCCCTGCACCTTGCTGTTGAGCGCCAGCACACCCAGATTGTCAGGGTAAGTACTTATCAACGTGGATCTTAGCTTACAATTGTATTTTAACCAGATAGCTTTTTCGCATCTCTTGAAAATACTAATTTAAATGATACAGTTCTAGATTGCTCAAAAAAAGGATAGATATAAAAGTTATGATTTTAGGGTAATATTATGCATCGGTTAGATAAAGGGCTTTAATTTTTAATAGGGCAAAACATGAAAATTCTAATATTCAAAGTCTATAATTTTGTTGCCAGATTTGTGAATTCTCAGAATATCAAATCAGAAAATTTCAAAGTTAACATATAAATTAATTTTTAAAAAGTACAGTTCTTCTTAATTTGTATAATTGAGAGTAAACTATAATTAAAAACTTTGGCTAGACATTTGCTGCTGCAAATGCCGGAAAGGCTGAAATTGAGTTCTTAGGTTTTGCTAATCTTGTGAATCCAAACAAAATATCTGAATGATTATCTGTCTTTTTCTGGAGCAGAGATTGTTAAAAAGTTTGGAGCCTGAACCAGCTGCATCATAATCGTCTGGGAACTTGGTAGAAAAGCAAATTCTTTGGTTCCACCCTAGGCCTATCTAGGGATGGGACCCAGCAGTCCATGGTTTAACAAGCCCTCCAGATGATTCTGATATACTTTCAAATTTGAGAAGCGCTGCTGTAGAGTGACATTTCATGTAATGTTTTTGGAACAAGAGGAAAAAAAAAGTAATTTGCCAAGACAGATACTGGTTTCTTCTGTGTATGGTGACTTTCCAAAAGTCTTTAATAGCATTTGTAGAAAGGGTTAGGAAAATTGTTACAGCACCATAAGCAAAGTCTTAAATATGCTTATATTTACTGCATAATTCACCTACTGAAATGTTATCGATTATCCATTTTATCCAAGAGGTTGTAGTTTAACAAACAGTATTCACATATATTGGTACTTGAAAATCCTTCTGTTAAAAATTCTTCATTTATCCTCTATGATGCTTGTAGTTTCCTTATGACTATAATTTGGAGAAAATTGACCAAAGAAGGAATCAATAATTACTTGTTATTAATAATAGAAGTTTGAATATTATAATTAGGTCCTAGTAGAAGGGCTTAAAATATCTCAACTCATATGTCTGAAATTAAAAGGTAAAAAAATTACCTAAATTTCCCCTAGTTATCTTGATCTTGAAGCCCCAGTGGTGCAGTGGTTAAGAGCTGTGGTTGCTAACCAAAAGGTCAGCAGTTTGAATCCACCAGCCGCTGTTTGGAAACCCTGTGGGGCAGTTCTACTCTGTCCTATAGAATCGGCGTGAGTCGGAATTGACTCAACAGCAACAGGTTTGGTTTTTTTTCTTGATCTTAGAGTAGGTGAATTAAGCGTCCAGGGCTCTGAATGTAAATATATTATACATTGTCATTTCTTATGGGCGTGGATACTTTACCAAAATGAAATGTCTTTCTGTTTTAGCTTTTGGTCCGTGCAGGTGCTAAACTAGATATTCAAGATAAGGATGGGGATACTCCTTTGCATGAAGCTCTCAGACATCACACTTTGTCTCAACTTCGTCAGCTCCAAGATATGCAAGATGTGGGAAAGGTTGATGCTGCCTGGGAGCCATCCAAAAACACAGTAAGTGACAATAATATTTAATTAAGTACCAGTAAAAGCATCTTTTAATGCAGAATCTTGTATTACTGCTACTCTAATCTGCATCAGATAAACTTCTATCAAAATCTCATACTTAGGAATTTAGTTTATGAACTAAATACTCATTAATACTAAGTATTGACTGGTATTTACTATGATTTTAAATGATTTTGCAAAGCAACCGAAGATAATTTTTTTGTATATATGTCAGTTGCTAAAGTGGATTGCTACTTTTGAGATTCATTTGAATGCCTGTTTGAGGTTTCATTTGATATTTTTTATTTTAACTAATACCATTCTCTTAAGGGGTTGTTTCTGTTAAGGCTGCAAATTTTTATTCTTTATTTCCAAGGCTAATTGCTGGAATTTTTTTTTTTTTAAATTATACTTTAGGTGAAGGTTTACAGAACAAATAGTTTCTCATTGAACAGTCAGTACACATATTGTTTTATGACATTGGTTAACAACCCCATGCCATGTCAACACGCTCCTTTCTCAGCCTTGGAGGGCGTTTTTTTTTTGGTGGGGGGGTGAAAATATACATAGCCAAAGATACACCATTTCAAAAATTTCTACATGTACAATTCAGTGACGTTGATTATGTTCTTCCAGTTGTGCTGCTATTCTCACTTTAAATGAAGGTTTACAGGACAAAATATTTTCTCATTAAACAGTATACATATTGCCCTATGACAATGGCTAAGAACCCCACTACATGTCAACACTGTCCGTACTCAACCTTGGGTTCCCTATCACCAGCTTTCCTGCCCCCTTCTGCCTTCTAGTCCTTGTCTCTGGACTGCTGTGCCTCATTAGTCCCATTTTGTTTTATAGGGCTGTCCAATCCCCGGCTGAATGGTGAACCTCAGGAGTGACTTCACCACTGAGCTAAAAGGGTGTCTGGGGGCCATACTCTCGGGGTTTCTCCAGTCTCCTTTAGGCCAGTAAATCTGGTCTTTTTTGTGTGTGTTAGAATTTTGTTCTACATCCTTCTCCAGCTCTGTGCAGAACCTTCTGTTGTGATCCCGGTCAGAGCAGTCGGTGGTATAATTGCTGGAATCTTCAAAGCACTTATTTGATTGCTGTTTATATCTGACTAGGGGAAAAAGCAGAATCAACAGTTCTTTAGCTTTATAGAATACAGGCAGTCCCTGGGTTACAAGCATCCGATTTATGTACAACCCATAGTTATGAGCCAGCCCCCGTAAATCCTATTACATTAAAAATTCGAGGCACATACAATGTTCCGTAATAACAAATTGGGGCTACTTTGCATCAAAACATTATTATTACTGTATTATTAAGTTAAAAATGTTTTAATGTATCAGGAAGTGTTTCTTTAATGTTTTTTATGCATAGAAAAGTACACTATATACTAAGACAAACATTTGACTAACTGACATTAGATACGAACTATACCTAACTGTTCCGACTTACGTACAAATTTGACTTAAAGACAGATTTAGGAACAGAACTCATTCGTAATCTGGGGACTGCCTGTATGTAGAACTTTTTCATTGATTTGTGATTGCAACTAACAGTTGAGATTCTATCAGAGATGTAGCTTCTTAAACTGCTCAAAATTCTTTCTTTTGCTTGTAATTTTATGCTCATTTCTTTTACCAGTTTTTGTTGCTTCACAAGAGCCAACAATTTTGCCACATGTTTAAAGCTATACTCTGCCTGTGAACCATGTCTACCTGTTCTCCCTTGTCCTTTTCAGCATATTACCCTGAATCTGCTTGGATATTCTTGCTCTTATCTATTCTCCATAAAATTACAGCTGTCATGTACAGCAATGATAGTAGACTTAGTTTTGTTCCAAGACTTCATTATTATCCTATTTTGCTATATAGTGTTCACGTACCATAAATTTATCTTTTTAAAGTATAAAATCCATTGGTTTTTTAAAATATAGTCACAAAACTGTGAACTCTTACAAGTATAATTCTAGAACATTTTCATTACCCTAAAGAGAAACCCATATCCCATATCCATTAGCATTCACTCCTCATTCACTGATGCTCTGTTCCTTTTTCTTTATTCTTTCATTTTTCTGTTCTTCAGACTGGATAATCCCAATTGACCAATCTTCAAGTTCACTGATTCTTTCTTTTGTCTGCTCAGATCTACTGTTGAGCCCGTCTAGTCTAATATTCATTTCTGTTACTGTACTTTTTAATTCCAGAATTTCCATTTGCTTCTTTTTTATACTTTTTTATTGATTTTTTTTATTGGGTGAGACATCATTCTCATACTTTGCGTTAGTTCTTTAAATATGACTCTCTTTAGTTCTTTAAACGATTTAAAATAGCTAATATAAAAGCTTTGTCTAGTAAGTTCAACATCCAGGCTTTTTCAGAGACAGTTTCTGTTGACTTCTTTTTTCCTATATATGGGCCATACTTGCTTGTTTCTTTGCATGCTTCGTAATTTTTTTTGTTAAGAAAGCAGACATTTTACATAGTGTGACAACCTCAGAAATCAGATTACCCAACTTCCCAGGTTTTATTGTTTTTGCTGTTGGTTGTGATTGTTGCTGCTGGTTTTTGTTTGTTTGGTGATTTTCTGAACTAATTTTGTAAAGTCCCTGTGTTCTTTGTCATGTGTGGCCATTGAAGTTGGCTTGGTTAGCTTCGTGGTCAGCTAACGACTGAATAAAGATTTCCTAAAATGCTTTGTAACATTAAATCTTCCAGCATTTTCTGAGGAGCTCTGTTGGGAGTGTTAGAGTATGCCTTCAACATTCAGGCAGGCAGTTTACAACTCTGCCTTAGCCTTCACTTCCTGTTTACACAGAGCCTTCAAGATTAGTCACAGGTGTGAGGGTAGGACCTTCTCAGGTCTTTCTTGGGCATTTGTTTAGCCCTGGGCATTTATATAGTTGCTATGAATCAGAATCAGCTCTACAGCAATGGGTTTGATTTTGGGGGCATGCATGAAAGCATCCCTGGTGGTGCAGTGGTTAAGCACCCAGCTGCTAACTGAAAGGTAGGCAGTTCAGACCCATCAGCCACTTTGTAAAAGACTGACAGCCTTGGAAACCTTATGGGGCAGTTCTACCCTGCCCTACAGGGTGGCTAGGAGTTGGAATCAACGACAATGGGTTTGGTTTTAGTTTGGGACACTTGCATAAATGCTGCTTGGATTGTTGGAAGCCTTTGATTAATTTCCAGAGTTTTGAAACAATTGATTTTGACCATTTTACCAGTGTTCTCATTGCTTTGATGGAGTTACAGATATTTGGAGGTTCTAACTCTGCCATTTCCGCTGATGTCCAGTAGGTGTATTTTTAAACTTAAAGAAAAATCTGCCAAAAAGTTTTCCAAAGTAGTTGTACCATTTACATTCTATAAGTAGTGTTTGAGAGTTCCAGTTGCTCTACATCCTTACCAAAAAGTCTTTTTAACTTTAGCTGTTAGACTTAGTTTCCTAGGGGCTGCCATAACAAATCTTATAAGAACAGAAATTTATTGTCTCATTATTCTGGAGCTATGGATCCAAAATCAGGGTATTGGCAGGGCCATGCTCTAGGGGAAGATCCTTTCTTGTCTCTCCCAGCTTCTGGTAGGTCCCAGCATTCCTTAACTTGCAGCTGCAGTGTCATATGGCATTCTTCCCTTTGTGTCTCTGTCTCTGTGTCTCTTCTCTTTTATAAGGATACTACTCATATTGGATTAGGACCCACCTTACTCCATTATGACCCCATGTTAACTGATAACATCTTCAAAGACCCCATTTCCAAACAAGGTAATTCTCACAGGTATTGGGGGTTAGGACTTCAACTTATCTTTTAGGGGGGCACAGTTCAGTTCATTACACTATTTAAATGGGTATGTAGTAGTATCTTGTGGTTTTAATTTGCATTTTCCTAATGACAGATGATATATTTTTTGATGAAGTTTCTTTTCATCTTTTGCACGTTATTTTGTTAAGCTTTTTTTTTTTTTTTTTAATTGAGTTTTGAGGGCTCTTTATATAATCTGGATATAAGTTTTTTTTAATCAGATATGTGATATGCACGTATTTTCCCCCAGTCTGTGGTTTTGTCTTTTCATTTTTTTAACAGTGTCTTTGGAAAAGCAGAAGTTCTAAATTTTTATGAATTCTAATTTATCAATGTTTTATTTTCTTGTTTATGCTTTTTTGTGTCCTGTTACGAGATCTTTGCCAAACCCAAGGTCACTAAATCTTTCTCCTGTGCTTTATACTAGAAACTTAAAAAGTTTCAGCTGTCTCATATAGGTCTGTGATCCATTTTGAGTTAATTTTTGTATGTAGCATGAAGGATGCATCCTAATTCATTTTTTTGCTTGTGGATTTTCAGTTGTTCAGCACCATTTGTTGAGAAGACCGTCTTTGCCCACCAAATTGCCTATGTACCTTTTACCAAAAATCAATTGACCTTGTATGTGTGGGTTTCTTTTTGGAACCTCTGTGTGTGTGTGTGTGTATGTGTGTATAAATTTATTTTTGTGCGTGGTGAGAATTCATAGCAGATTCCCAAAGGAAAATGATGACTGTTCATTTCATTTCAGTTGATAATGGGGCTTGGTACCCAGGGGGCAGAGAAGAAGAGTGCAGCATCTATTGCCTGTTTCTTGGCAGCCAATGGCGCTGACCTTAGCATTCGGAATAAGAAGGGTCAGTCACCACTTGATCTCTGTCCTGATCCGAGTCTCTGCAAAGCACTGGCAAAATGTCATAAAGAAAAAGTCAGGTTTGTATTATGTATTGTCGTAAAACTTAATATTCTATAGATAAAGTAGTATTTGGTTTCATTTGGAGGACTTGACTACTTGAAAACATCCTCGTCTTTGCTCTTCCTCTATCTTTGTGTTGACCCTTTCTTCCTTAAAAATTCTGCTGCAGGCAGCGTATCCCTTATTTAGCTTTGTGAGCTGCACGTTATTTAGTACAGTGCTTTATACATAATAAAATGTAAGAAACTGTTCTAAATTAGTCTGATCTTCTAGTACTCCTGTGTTAGAGGAATTTACAAGAAAAAGTCTCATTAATGAAATTGCTGTGTCTAATGTTATATGTATTTTAAATATTAATAAAATCTTAAGAGAAGGCAGTTCACACTTTTCACCAACAGAGTATATCTCACACAAATAATTCTAGCACTATGCACAGTGCCCGGTAGACACTCAGTAAGAATTTGTTGAGTCAGTGAAGAAATGAACCAATGAACAAATGCGTGAACCAATTCCTGATGGAGTTGTCCTTAAAGGTGATCATTTCATGTTTGTCTTCTTTTCTGAAAGTTAAATATATCCGTGATTTCAATTATTGCTTATGACATTACTCATTTTCTTATTATGAGATACTGTAGGTACACAAAAAAGTACATCTCATTACTTTTTCATCCAAACACTGCTGTGCAACTGTTATTACCCTTTATACCTGATTCTTGCCAGTGAACATTTCAGTAGTGTCTTTACCCTTGTGTTTTGGTTTCCTTTCTTATAATTTATGTGAAGTGAGGAAATGACATCTCTTTGGAATGCATGCATAGAGCTGTGGTATAGGTTAAATTAATGCAATGAAGTAAGTATATAATAAACTTATAACAATGGAGTCTTAGATGAAACTGATTTGTGTATTGTGCATATTCATGAATTACTGAATATTGTAGTTGGTCACATTACTGAATTACTGAATAATAGTTGGTCACATAAATGTATTCTGTCTCGTCTCTATTTATAGATGTGTTCTGTCTTTAATAGAATTTTACTCTCCTTAAGGATACACTTAAAGAAATGTCAAAATAGCAACTGAACTGTCATATTTTCCAAAATTTCCTATTATGAACTTTGATAATGCTTCATTCTGTCTTTAGTTAGCATTTTTTGTATTATTATTGTTCTTATTCCTCCCTCTGCTGGTTCTATATAAATAAAACAGATTTTGAGTGAACTTGTGTATATGTTAAATTATTTTTTTGCTAGTATTTTTGAATTGTTAGAAGATTTCACTTTTTTCCATTGGGTGAGAATTTGTTCATATTGAAGTTTGAATAGTAGTAGAAGTGTTTAAAGATGTAGAACTATAGATAAATAGAAAAATATATTCTATGGTATTTCAGTACAGATATTCAAACTTCGTTTTTTCACCTAATAACATTGATTTTATGTATATTAGTGATGCTCTGGGGCCCTGGTGGCACAGTGGTTAAGTGCTACAGCTGCTATCCAAAAGGTCAGGAGTTTGAATCCACCAGCTGCTCCTTGGAAACCCTATGGGGCCATTCTACTCTGTCCTATAAGGTCACTATGAGTCGAAGGCGACTCGACGGTAACGGGTAGTGATGCTGTAGATGTTCTTTATAAAACACTTTAATTAATGAATTTGTAGTAGAAATATTCTGCTAAACTTGAATGTTTTCTTTTATTAGTGGTCAAGTAGGTTCTCGGAGCCCTTCTATGATTAGTAATGATTCTGAAACCTTGGAAGAGTGTGTGGTGTGCTCAGATATGAAGAGAGATACTCTTTTTGGCCCATGTGGTCATATTGCTACCTGTTCTTTATGTTCTCCACGAGTCAAGAAATGTCTCATCTGTAAAGAACAAGTGCAGTCCAGGACAAAGGTAATACATTTTCAGTATAGTATTTTATCATTTTTTAAGGTTTTTTGAGACTGTAATTAATGGTAAATAAGATTATATGATGCTATGTATCTGTTTAATTTTTCCTCCCTAAGAATGATTTAAGTTTAGGAATATTTAATTTATCCCTTTAACAAGAGACCAGTTCAGAACTTCTGAATGTATTGCTTATTTACAGTCTCATCTTACGTAGTTGTGTTACCCAGCTAGTTATTATTTGAATTTAACTGTGTACTGTTTTTACTGTCAAATTCTTTTTTAGTCCTTGTGGATTTCCTTCTTTCTTTTCTATATCTAGAGTAACTAAAAATAAAAGTAATCTACAATTTAGTCTATAACCTAAAGAAGTATTTAATTTCATTTTGTATTATAGTTACTTGTATATTATACTTTTTTTTTCTTCTTGAGTGCATGAACTGTTTTGTATTTTTCTTTATATCCAATAACATTGGCTTTTTGAAAAGACCAGGTATTTTGGTAAACTTTCACACATGCTGGATTTGTTTGACTGTTTCATCATCATAGTGTTTTACTTGTTTCTTTATCCTCTATGTTTCCTGTGAACTGAAGTTAGAGCTAAAGGCTTGATTAGGGCCAGGTTAAAACATTTTTGGCAAAAAAACTTTACAGATGATGCCGTGCACTTTGTATTGCGTACCATCAGGAGGGCAAATTCTATATACACTCTTGTTATCTCATCTGACTTGTTTTGTTCTTTAAGAGATATTATTCATTTCTGGGTTTCTGGTTTCATCTTTTTCCATATAACTCAATGCTTTATCGTAACTGTACTAAATTACTCATTTTGGTTTACTGAAATAATTGGTATTCCTTTTGAGTTTCTCCTTACTTGTGTGTGCATGTGTGTTAAATGAGAATTAAGTCTCCTACAAACTATTTCTCTCAAGATGAGTAGCTTAAACCAAAAAAAAATGTTGGTTTTGTTTGGTTTCATTTATAAAGTTTATGCTCTTTGCTATTCTGTTTCTTATATTCTCTTCCTTTTTCTCTTGACGTTTCCTAAGGTGTTCATTCCAAACCAAACCAAATCCATTGGTGTCGAGTTGATTCTGACTTACAAGGACCCTATAGGACAGAGTAGAGCTGCCCCAGGGCGTTTCCAAGGCTGTAATCTTTACTGAAGCAGTCTGCCACATCTTTCTCCTGTGGAGCGGCTGGTGGGTTTGCACTGCCGACCTTTTGGTCAGCAGCTGAGTGCTCAACCACTGTGCCACCAGGGCTCCTAGTTGTTCATTAACCTTCATTAATTGGAAAGGAGTTGGTATTAGTTCTTATGATAAATTAGCTGGCAGTGACTTAAAGGACATTTTCCTGCCAGTGCTTCTTACATTTTCATAGAGAACCTGCTAAGAGTGGATTGTTTTTATGACCCAAATGAATGTAACTTTGGTAAAATTTTTGGCACAGGAAAAAGCACATTGGAGTTATTTTTGGATAAAAGGTACTGGAGTAGTATGTATGGTATGTGTATGTAGCTGCTTAATCTATTTATAAAGGTGGGGAGGGGGAGCCAATAGCACTTATTCTATGCTGGGACTGTTACAGCATTTGTATGCATTATTTCAGTGTCAACTCTGTTTAATAAATTAATCTGGATCATTCTGCTTGGTATTTATAATTTGCTTTAGGTACCTGCTTACAAAGTAACAGTCTGGGAAAAAATCTGAAAGAACAAAAATCTAAGCCCTTCTCTTGTTTTTAGATTTGTCTATGTATTGTGCTGTTGTGCCTGAAACTTTTTGTTAGATTTTTAAATCTTATTTCAACAAACCTTTATTGAGCACCTGGTTTGTAATCAGGACAAAGGTGTATATGATAGTTTCCTGCTAAAAGCTTGTAATGTATTGGCCAACTATGACTTAGATTAAAAACTGCACTGTAGGTGTTGTAAGAGATACGTAAATTGAGTAGGAGTTCAGAGCAACAGCGTGGCAAAAACAGTCTCAAGATACGGAATAGCCCTTAATGGTTATCTAGTCCAACTCTAGTGTTTACAGCTGGAGAAACTGAAGCTCAAAGAAGTGCAGTGACAGCCAAGTATTGAGCTCAGCCCTCTTAAAGCCACTGTTCCACTATGTTAGATGCACGGACAAAATTAATAACAATGTCTACACGGGGAAGGTTGGCTGGACAGAGGGTGGAGAAGAAATAAGCTGTCTTTTTTTTTTTTAGACCGCTTCTGAACATAGTTATTCTATGAATTAGCAGACTTGCAATTGGTTTTTAAATTACGAAATTTTCAAACCTGTAAAAAAGTATCAAAACTAACATGCACAGCAAACAGATTTTGCCAGATTGATTGCCGAGCCTTTGAATATAAAGAAATAGTGACCCCAAGTGGTTAAAGGATAATGAACATCTTTACTGAAGATAAGACAAATTGTAAAACCATTATTTAAAGGGAGGGAGAGAGAATAAATAAACTGGGTTTCTTCAGCAATTAGAAAAATATAGATAAAAATTTTATGAATTATTATTATCCTCTTCTGTCAAATTGGCAAAAACAAATGCTGTCTTCACGGTTAATTGTCCTAATAATGTGTTTAGTACCTTTGTTATACCTCCTAGTTCACTGCATAGTGCCCAGAGTCTTAAAAGCTTGCAAGTGACCATCCAAGGTACAAGTGGTCTCTATTTGCCTGGAACAACAGAGGAAGGAAGAGAGTCAGGAATAGGAGGAGGAAATGGAATGTGTGGCTAATTGCCTCCACAACTGCCCCCTTTGCCATGAGACCAGAACTGTACAGTACCTGGCTACCATTACTGAACATTTTGATCAAAGATTCCATAGAAGAATCCTGATCAAAAGGGGGGAAATGCATAACAGAATTTAAAATTCTCGTGGACTGCAGACTTTCTGGAGCCGTGGAGACTGGATGAACCCCTGAAACTGTTGCCCTAAGATAATCTTTAAATGTCAAACCAAAAATACCCTGAAGTCTTCTTAAACAAACAGTAGTTTAGCTTAACTAGTAAAGAATGTTTACCTTGAGCATTGTGCTCTTTTAAGATCCATCTATATGGGATCAAATTGACAACAGCAACTTGAAAGGTTAGATAGGAAGCTTAGGGGGCAGTGAGTTTATATTAATGGGGCAGGAACAACTTGGAAAAGGAGGGTGAGAATAGTTGTACGACTCGAAGAATGTAATCAGTGTCACTGAATGTACAAGCAGAAATTGTTGAATTGGTATATTTTCTGCTGTGTATATCCTCAATAACAATAAAAAATAAGTTATAAAAAATAAATGTTGCAAGGAAGTGGTCACTCTTCAGCAGTGCTGGAGGTTGAATAATGGGTTCACATTTTCAGGAGGCCATCCTGGGAATATAGCCTGAGGAAATAATCCAGAAGTGAAGGAAAGTTACGACTACAGAGATTTTTTTTTTTTTTACAATAGAGGATTGGGTTTTTAAATGATTAGTTCAATTTGCTAGATTATTTTAAACTCTTTAAAGACAATTCAAATACATAGACAAATACATTGGAGAGCATTTTTTTTAAAAAACGGCACATTTGTATATATAGATTAAAAGAGAATTACCATGTATTGGGCACTGACTTTATATTAGGTATTGAACTAAGCACTTTACACATAATATGTAATTTACTCTTTACCACTCTGTGTGGAAGGATTGTTCCTTGTAGTTCAGATTTTAAAAAAATAAAATAAAAGAGAACACCCTGAGGCTTAAGTGTGTAAATTCTGTGTACATATTGTGAGGTATAAATTGGGAAAGTCCCTAGAGAGAACGTATGTGATAATTGGTTGTTTAGGAGAATGTATAGGTGAGTGGTAGCCATCATTTTTGGACAGTAATATTAAATGGCACAGAATATGGGTAAATGTAATGTGTGTTAGAAGGGAGAAGATGGTGTGAAAGATGGATATGAAGCCAAGTGCAGTGGGGTGGGGAGCAGATAAAGGAAGCCAGAGCAAAGGTTGTTAAGAAATAGTTATGCACTCAAAACTCAGATTAAGGGGAGATGAGGAAGAGGTGAAATTGAGGGAAATTATGGATAGGCTATGGAAAACTTCTGGCTTTAGAGATCAGATAGAATAGTTCAGAGTGTTGCTCTAGCCAGAGTGGAGAATTGACAAAGGCCTAGAAAAGGGTGTTGTTAGGTAGAGGCCTCAGATGTGGGTAAACAGAAAGATCCCCCTTAAGCTTTAGCAGTCTAGTCAACACTGGCTAGATTTTTATTAATAGCAGAAATCTGACTTCTCAGTCATTTATTTTCATACCTCTTTGTTTGTTCCTTGTCCTTTTAGTTTCCTGTCAAAGTAGTTTTTAAGAAAAAAGAAAGTCTAGCCCAGCCTCTCTGACCTCAGAGGAAATGGAGTTTTTCTGTATTCTTTAGAACAGCTAGGGAGACTAATGTGGAAATAGAGCTTGCTAAGCTGGAGTATGGAGCCCTGGTGGCATAGTGTTTAAGAGCTTGGCTGCTAACCAAAGGGCGGCAGTTTGAATCCACCAGCCGCTACTTGGAAACCCTATGGAGCAGTTCTACTCTGTCCTATAGGGTCGCTATGAGTCAGAATCGACTCAACAGCAGCGGGTTTTTTTTGGTTTTTTAAGCTAGGGTAGATAAAGATGTGAAAATGAGTAACCAGGAGACGAAAGGACAAAGGAGAGATATGTGTTAGATTTCTGAGTACTTAGAGTGTTTCCTTATTGAGGAAATACATTTGGATACAAATCGAACTGTTAAGAGTTACTAGATTTAACTGTAAAGGTTCACTTTTCTCTTTCTCTCTCCTTTCTCTAGATTGAAGAATGTGTGGTATGCTCTGACAAGAAAGCAGCTGTTCTTTTTCAGCCTTGTGGACACATGTGTGCTTGTGAGAGTAAGTAGCCTATAGAAAACTTCTGAACAGTATTCTAACAATAAAAGGTATAACAAAAATTATATATTTGAATTTTTTTTAATAACTCACAAAAATATTGGTGGGTCTCTAATACCTTCTATTTCTTTCTCTGTACTAGAATGTTAGCTATTTCCCTCCATATTCCTGAGCATTAGAGAAGACTGAATATGCTGTCTTCTGCTAGTTGGATTTTGATTTTACTTGCTTTACCTCAAGATGATTTCTTTTCTCAAACAATAGAAATTTATTTCAAAAAAAGGCTAGTGAAACATGCAGTCTGACCTTTTCCCCCAAATAAAATTAGCACATCTTTGCTTGTCTTCACCTTAATATTGCCTTTCCTACATACTTTCACCACAGCAACCATAACCGATTGCCATCAAGTCAGTTCCGACTTAATAGCAACCCTATAGACAGAATAGAACTGCCCGCATAGGGTTTCGAAGGAGTGGTTAGTGGATTCAAACTGCTGATCTTTTGTTTAGCAGCCAAAGTGTTAACCACTGTTCTTAGAGTAATAAAGAAATTATATGATAATTTAATGTCATTGACAGATTTGCTTTAAGTCTTAGTCCTTTTTTCAGTCAACTACAGAAAGGGTCAGGGTATTATACTGTAACATTCTGCTTCAGGTAACTTTCTTTTTACCACAGACTGGTATGATGGCTATTGTCAACTGTCAGAAGAGCACACAGAGAATTTTCTGTCTTAAGTAAAAAGGGTTCTGGTTACTTAAGTTTTTATAACCAGGGATTGGCAGACGTTTTCTCTATAGAGTGAAATAGTAAATATTTTTGGCTATGTGGGCCATATGGTCTCTGTAGTAACCACTCACCTCTCCAACTGCTCAACTCTGCCATTATAGTCAGAAGGCAACCACAGACAATACGTTAACAAATAGGTGTGACTGCTCCAATAAAACTTTATTTAAAAAAACAGGCCAGAGGTTGGATTTGGCCCGTGGGCTGTAGTTTATGACCTCTCTCTTAGGCCAAAGTGAAACCCTACATGGGACTTCTAATTATAGTTGACACTGGTATTATTATAGATATAATTATTAGTTGATAACACAGATTCTAGAGGCTTAATATATTTTCCCCAGAAATCTCCAAAGTTTTTACATAGTCTTTCATTTAAATGTAACAAGAGCTGCAGGTAACTTTAATTGAGCTCTTAACTTTGTACCAGAATCCCTGGTGATGTAGTGGTTAAGTGCTGTGGCTGCTAACCAAAAGGTCGGCAGTTCAGATCCACCAGGTGCTCCTTGGAAACCCTATGGGGCAGTTCTACTCTGTCGTATAGGATCGCTATGAGTCGGAGTTGACTTGACGACAATGGGTTTTTTGGGCAACTTTGTACCAGACATTTTAATCTCTTTTTCAGTATTTTCCCATGTATCTTCACAGTAATCCCAAGAAGTAGATTCTGTTTTTTTCCATTATACAGACAAGTTGTTAAACATTTGTATGCTAGGGAAGATGAAGTTGAGACAGAATATGTCCCTCTCAAAGAGTATATAGTAAAGTGGTTAGTCTAGTACCTACATCACAGTAATGTTAAGCAGAGTGTTGAGGCCTTGAAGAGTACAAATAAATGAGAGATTATATCTCTCTGGGGGGACCAAGAAAAAGATTTTGTAGAAACACTGTAACAACCCAACTTAACGGTTGTAAGAATTTTAGATAACTGTGGTTACATATTATGTGTTTAGGCAACTAAATAAATCCTATCCACTTAAGAGAAAAATCTGTCTGAGATTGAAGCCAAATCCCATACCAGATTTATCCACTTGCATTAGCTCCTACTTAGCTCATCTTGCAAAAGCCCACATCAGACCTATCTCTGTTTAGACCTTGGCATGAGATTGACTTTGATAACCATTTTCTACGTGTCACTATTAGGAGTATATGCCCCACCCTACCCACATCAGTGGTTTTGTGCCTTGTTAAAGTTTAGTATCTTTTCATAAGTTATCCTTGATGCCCTGTACCAGTTTTTGTTATTTTCCTGTTTTTGAAATGACAAAGACAATTTGGTACATAGGCTAAGATATGGAGTATACATTCATAATGGGAATGCTGATGGGAAAGAATATGTTGAAGTACTGTGTGTTATTTTGTACTTACTAGTATTAGTTGAAATTTGTGAAAGATACCTCCTTTCTTTAAATAAAGGCCTTAAGATTAAAATACTTATTGCTTAAGAAAACAAAGTCACTTTCACTATTTACACAAATGCATTAGAAGATCTCATTTTCATAACGTTGGGCTATCATGTCTAGAGGTTACCAATGGAGAATACTCATTCTTAGGTCGATGACATTTTAAGGGGGTAGGAGTATGTTGATCTAACTCACTTAGTGCTTATTTTAGTGTTCATCTGGGCCTTTTCATACCCATTAGATTGGAGAGAATGTTAAAGACCGTCAGTATCAAGTATTAGGCAAACTGTGTAGAATCCGTAACTCCGTACACTGCTTGGGGGAATAGAAATGGGTAAAAACACTTCGGAAAACAGTTTGTCATCATCTAATAATAAGCTAAAGTTAAATTTAAGTTACAAAACATGAACAGAGAAAGGTAACACTCCTACTCATGTTCTCCCTTGTAAGCAGCGTCTCTGCTACTCTTTTGCAGACTGTGCCAGTCTGATGAAAAAGTGTGTGCAGTGTCGGGCGGTCGTGGAACGGAGAGTGCCTTTCATCATGTGTTGTGGCGGGAAAAGTGCCGAAGACACCACTGATGACATCTGTGAGTTTTTGAGGCCTTTTCTGATTTCCTTTCCTTGTTGGTACTTCCATGAATGTCTCTTCTCATTTATTTATAGTACATGGTCGCCTTGTAAACCATAAGATATGTGACTTGGATGCACAGAGGAACAGGTGCTCTTTTGGTGCTCTCACTACATTACAAGAAACCTGAAGTCGTCCTTTTCTAGTCTGTGGCATGATTATAGAACTTAAAACATTTGTCTTTCAAGAAATAGCCATGCTATGTGTATTTTCACCAAAAAAAAGAAGGTTGAGAAGTTAGAGGGTTGATATGTTGTGGGGTTGTTAACCAATGTCATAAAACAACATGTGTACTTCTGTTTCGTGAGAAACTATTTGTTCTGTAAGCCTTCACCTGAAGTACAATAAAAATAAAAAATAAAAAATAAAAAATAAATAAAAATAAATAATTAAAAAAAAAAGAAATAGCCATGCACAGTATAAAGAATATAGTTGTGTTCTTGCTTAAAGAAAATACACTGTCTTTTTTTAATATGAAACATATATCTTGGTGTGACATCATATTACAAATAATTTTTTCAGTTTACAAAAGTATTAACAACATGATTCTTTTATGTAGCCAGCTTCCCTACTGCACTTAAGTGTTTTATGGGATAGAAAGTTTTGGGGACAGAAGCTGAAGATACACTAGAAGTGTAACTTAGTGAGCAAGTGCAGAGATGCAGAGTACATGATTTATATTCAACCTCTTCAGTAGCACAGCTATGAAAAGATATTTTTCATCTTTGTACTAGATATGAGCTGTAGGGTGTCTTCGATTTCTTTCTGTGAACAGATGAGGAAGAATGTGAGTGTACCCACTTTTCTGCTCAGGGCTTTTGTCTTTATCACGAATACTGCAGAATAAAAGTTCTGGAGACAGATTGACTAGAAACCAAGAGAGTAGGAAAAGTGAAATGGAAGATTTTGCTGTCAGACCACTTGATTATGGCCTTTCTTGAGTTCATCGTCTTAAACCAGTAACAACAAGGAGGTTTGGACATAAAGGAAGGGGCTACGTTTTTGTTGTCCTCATAAAAATCACCTGAGAGGACTTGAAGATAATTATTGCTGCTGAAACTGGTGAGACTTTATCCATGCTGTGCTGCCTACCTTCTAGGTTCATACAGAGCAGGAGCAGAAAAAACAAGCATAAAATGTAGTTTGTCAGAGGAAGCAAGCAAAGAAAAATCCAAAAGGTGTATGTGGAGAGCTGTCTGGCAGAAGATTACACGTGAAGGAGTGTGACACGACTCTCACTGCTGTCGCTTGTCCAAGTGTGAAAAAATAATTTGTAAAGAGGATTCTAATGATAGTTTTGTGTCATTTAAGAAGCAAAACTAATAATTTTAGACATAAAAAATCATTCTTGTATCAAAACAGTAATAACATTTAAAAATTTTATCTCCATTATAGCAGGTGGGAATATTCCAGTGTTACAGAAGGACAAGGATAATACCAATGTCAACGCAGACGTGCAGAAGCTGCAGCAGCAGTTACAGGACATTAAAGAGCAGGTGATGATGATCTCCTCATGGTGAACAGTGGTTCTAAGAATAGCTTTTAATATTTTCCTATAAAGCTACTAGTGTCGTCTGTAGTGAGCATAGTTTGTATTAATGTATTGCTTGTAGTATTGGAGTATTTGTACTGAATAATATCTGATGAGAAGAATTTTAATCAGGCACTTTCCAAAATAGGAAACACAAATGGCCAGTAAACATATGAACAAATGCTCAGGCACATTAGCAATCAGGAAATGAGAATTAAAACCACGAGGTGCCTTTTTACACCCACCGGATTGAAAATGTTAAGGACTGTTAATATCAAGTGTTAGGCAGAATATGTGGCAGCCGTAACTCTCATACACTCCCTGCTGGGGGGAATATAAATTGGTAAAAACACTTTGGAAAACAGTTTGTCATTATCTAATAACACTAAATAGGATATTTCAGGATACAAACTTGTCAGGATAGTGATTTCCTTGACCGGGAATGGCTGGGAGGGGGCACAAGGGAAGTTTCTAAAGTACTGATAATCTTATTCCTTGATCAGGGTGCCCATTACATGTGTTAGTTCAGTTTGTGAAATTTTATTGAACTGTACACTTAACGATTTGTGCACATTTCTGTATTATGTGATACTTCAACAGAAAATAGAAAAATGTATGTGTGTGTATATATATGTATATATATATATATGTATGTATGTATATAAAGAAAAGCAAGGGAAAGATAAAAGCAAAATTCAAGAGAGATTATTAGGGAGGGTGGAAGAGATTGGGGAGAGCATACGGAGGAATTTCAGAAGTAACAGTAGCCTTCCTTGCCCTAAGCTGGGTGTTATGTTGTTCTTTATGTTCTACACATATTAACAGAAGTACCCTTTTACATCTACTTTAATAAAAACAATTAAGTAAAGACATTAACTAAAATTTGTAGACATATAATAAGTAAGAGAGTCATCACTTCTGCCATTTCTATCTGATGATATAAGGAAGTTACACAGTCAATAGATAGTGACGTTGCCTTGTGATAACCAATTTAGAACTAAATGTGTTTATTTATTAGGAACTTAAATACCCCATCCGAAAAAGATGAAAACTATATGATGGGGCCAGTTTTCCTTTTGAAATCCAGCACCTAGTACATACTTGTTGTATAATGAATTGATAAAGATAAATGCAGATTTATAAGTTCTCCGTGTAGATAGGAATATCTTTGGCTCATTCTAATATAAAACGAAATGTTTTTTAAAATTTTGTTGCTCTTTAGCATCTCAGCCCGTTTGTGATAAGACACTCATTGAAAGATAACACTGATTTTTTTTTTTTTTTTTTTAATATTTTATTGTACTTCAGGTGAAGGCTTACAGAACAGATAGTTTCTCATGTAACAGTAACACACATGCTGTTTTATGACATTGGTTAACAACCCCACAACATTTTAACCCTCTAAATACTCAACTTTTTTTTTTTTTTTTTTTTTGGTGAAAATACACATAGCCAAAGATACGCCATTTCAAAAATTTTTTTTACATACACATTTAAGTGACATTGACTACGCTCTTCTAATTATGCTGTTATTCTCACTTAAGATGAAGGCTTACAGGACAAAATAGTCTCCCATTTGACAGTTACTACAAATGTTGCCCTATGACAATGGTTAACACTCTCACAACACATCAACAATATCCTTACTCTACTTTGTGTTCCCTATCATCAGCTTCCTACTCCCCTTCTGCCTTCTGGGCCTTGTCACTGGACTCCTGTACCTCGTTACTCTCATGGTTTTACTGGGTTGTCCACTCGCAGGCTGATCAATACTGATTTTTTTTAAGAATACAAAAATCTGTGGAAAACATTTAATCTCCTAATTGTGAATTAAAATTGTTCTGATAATGATAGCACTTATTGAGCCCTATTACGGATCCTAAAAGCACAATTCATCTCTCTCTATATCCAAAGTTAAGCTTTCCCAAGAAGTTTCTTCTTCCTTAAATAATCCTCATCAGAATTCATTACTAAAGTATTTAAACAATTGTAACAAAAGTCATTTTCTGAGGAATGATGGGGTTTCTTGCAGGGACCCCTTCAAAGTTACCATGAAAACATCTGAATAACTTCCTCTTTTAATCTTTAATTTTTCTGTTACCCTAGTGTCTCTTCAGTGGCCAAAAATTAATTTCACATGGTATTAAGGATATGTTCATGTCAAAGTAACACAGGCTGCACTGATGTATTTACTTTTGGAAATAGGAAATTATTAATTAACCACATGGAACTCTTGAAAATTTAATGGGAAAAAAACTATTTTAATGACACTAAAAAGCTGGTTTGGCTTTTTAAAATCCAAATAGATATGATTTTCTACCACTTTGCTTCTCAAAACTTTAAAGGTAGGTAAATGTGACAATTTACTTTGGAGAGGTGGAGTTAAATTAGAGTACAATTCCTTTTTTTGTTGTTGTTTTGTTTTTTTACACTGATCTCTGGAGCAGTGTATATAATGATTTTGTCAGAGATGGTAACTACATTTTCATGTCGACTTCAGGCCTAGTTTATTAGTCTAGAAGTTCTTGTTTAATTATTTCATTTCCATATTATTTGGGTAAGGTGTAATTCAGAATATAGTATTATGAGATACTAAGATAAAATATATTTTTACAAATATAAAGTGTAAAATGTGTTTTTGTAAATGGATATATGATTTCCTAAATTGTTTTTAAGTATACTTAGCATACTTCTAAATTTTTCTGAGCTCATGATGTTCTCATTTAGTAATTTGTAATTAAGGCTAATTGTTTTTAACTAAGGGGATCTATATTGATATTAATGCCTTGTAGCATAATGTTTAAAAGTGAGAGCTGTGGGGTCACATGACCTGAGTTCACCTGGCTGGCCTTGGGAAGGTTATTAACCCTTCTAAGCCTCAGTTTCCTCATTTTTAAAGTGGGAGTGCTAACAGGACTGAGATTGTATCTCTAGCACAGTGCCTGGTAAGTGTTCTAGCTATGTGACTGCACTGTCCACCTCCGCACCCCCAACTGTGGCGTTGTCATACAAGAGCAGAATAGTACCTAGAGTTGAAGGATCTGAGTCAGACTGAATGAGGCTATTTTCATCAATTTCCTATTACGTTTTGGTGTTTTCATCTCTTATATTGTATTTATTTTATGTAGAATTTATTTGTATTTATTTCATGTCATTCCTTTTGTACTATTCTGACAGTAAAACCAGTATATTTATTTTATAGGGATGACGTTTTAACTATTTAAAAAAATTTTTTTTTATATTTTTAAAAAGTAACAAATTTTTTGGCTAAAAAGGAAAACAAACTGATGATATCACAGAGTTGTCACAAGTTACACTTTGTAACACAATATAAAATTGTGTCAGCATTTATTACTTTATTTGTTATCTCACGTTACAGACCATGTGTCCTGTATGTTTGGATCGTCTGAAGAACATGATTTTCCTCTGTGGTCATGGAACATGCCAGCTCTGTGGAGACCGAATGAGTGAATGTCCTATTTGTCGCAAGGCTATTGAGCGGAGAATTCTTTTGTATTAACTAAGAAGCACAGTGTGTTTCGTTAGTGAAAGTATTTGGTCATGAGATGTTAGTAAACTTTTAAGCCAGTTGGAGGTTCCAATGAATTAATTTCTAATTATCATAGTTTCTTCACTAGAGTGTAATTAGGGTAAATATACGAGAACATGAAAACCCTACAAAACAGTGTTTGAAACCATGTTGTTGTTTGTTTTTCCTAATTTGAAGCATCCGATCTGTGTTAATTCATAGGTAATTCACTTTTAGCTTCTAAGGGTAAAATTCTGTAACAATCTCCTGTTATTTTTTCTTTCCATTGCATTTCCTCTTACAGTTTATAAATTTATTAGACCTCAAAAGACATAATTCCTTGTGATCAGTTATCCTTCAATTTACCATGATTTTATACAGTGAATTGACAAAGGTATTGAGAAAAGTCATGCATCAAATTAAAGGGGCAAGTCAAACCATTAGGTCCCCCTATATTAAATGATAAAATTACAGTCCAGGTTTCACACAGTTAATGGCATATTGAAGGGTGTATTCTCTATAAGATAACAATGTTTTCCAAACGATTGTTTCTAAGTTTCTAGAGTAAACAGTAGCATAGAATGAGAGAATAATGACTTTGCATTCAGCTTATTTTCTAGATTTAAGAGGAAAATTGTTCAACTTGAATCCGATTGTCAGTTTCAAAAAGACCGATAGACACAAAAAAGGCAAAATAAGCAATCACAGTGAAGACTTGAAATCAAAAAAGTATCCAGTGAAAGAGTACCTATTAACTGACCACTAACAGTAGCTTTCTCATATTAACTGTCAGTGAAAAAGTATACCTCAGTTTTCCACAAGGCTACCTATCCAGGCTTGATCTGACCAGTGCAATGATACTGCCCTATTTGGGCCTCTGAGTTCCATTCAGCTTTTCTGATGTACCGAGTAGTTTAGTACCCCATGATTTGAGAAGGTTAACGCATTGACCAAAGCAGCAATCTTTTCGTCTCCAGACTCACTAATTCTAACAGTGTTACCGATTCTACCTTCATCATAGGCCTCAGTTAGTAGAACTTAATATAAATAAAACAGTCCCTCTTTATACCTACAGATGAGGATATTGTCTGAACTGTCAACAATATCAAAAGCATAATAAATAACCTAATAATAAATACTTACTTTGGAAAGAGTGACCAGGATATTTACAGGAATATGTCTGATTGCCTATAGATTTTTTTTTTTAAACGTAAGCTCTAACTGTAGAGCATCTAATCATGTCCTCTTCTTTGAATGAGTAAAATCTTAACACGTCTAGGATAAATGAAATGTGTTCAGATTCATTGCTGCTAGATTATAAATGTATTAGCTGTTTATAGTAGTGTCTACTATATACTGTGCGTAAGCTTACTCTTAAGGATAGGTATCTTTTTTGTAGTTTTTTCCCCGCCTTTGACCCGACTAGCTTTTTTTACTTCATTGTTTCTACTACAAGAACTAAATTTGAAAGTAGAAAGTCTCCAGATGTTATAATACCGTGTTTCTGGCTATTTGATTGCTGTTGCCTTAGGCAAGTACTGATAAAAGCAATGGTGAGCTTTGCTGTCTCATTTTTTAGTCTCAGCGATTCTGTATCTTGTGTTTAGCTTTGTAACTGTTATCATTTAGAATGGTAAAATTTGAAAATGTATTTAGACTCTACTCAGTTGTCTAATAAAGGGCCACTGAGGTTATTTTTTGCACCATATTTTGAAGTTATAAAACTGACCGATGATATTCATAGAAAGAAACAGACTATCTTCTTGCATATTTGAAAACACCTTAAATCAGGATTTACCTTTTCCTCCATGCCATAGGCCAGCCATCTCTTTTGCACTAGATCAAGCAGTAAAGAAGGAGCACCTTGCAGACTTGGGAATAGTTTGGCCAACCAGAGAGTTGAATGATCTGCAGCAATACTTTACAAATCCTTTTTATTTATCTTCTGGACTACAGTGCTAAAACTTATATCCTTGAAAGATAATTTTATATTCCAGACTAGTTTAATTACCCCTCCATATTAAAAATATGAAAACGTACAAACATCTATTATAAAAGTCAAAAAGTTACTATAATTTTAGTGCCAGGTACTTGTGGTTTTTCTGTATTGTACCACTTGGAGGTTTGCTTTATAAATAGGAAATATTTCACCATTCATGTTTTCAAGCACCTGATAAATTATTTAAAAAATTTTGGGGGTTTGTGAAAGAGAATAAAATTAAGAACTTAATCGTTCAAGTGACTTTCCTCCAACTCTGTGAAACTGCTCCCTCTCCCTGTGTCTCTGAGCTGTGCTTTCCCGATTAGGGGATTCCCTTCTCACTGTCGCCTCTTTATCCCGTGCCTCAGAAGAAGTTTTATTTTCCTAGAATCATCTTTTTAAAATAACAGGCTTGCATTCATCCAAAAAAGTATTTATTGGGTAACCACTGTGCTTCAGGGGCTAGATTCACAAAATTTAAAAAAAGTGGTCAACATCTTAGGCCATACAGAATTTCTTGTGCAACAGTTGTGTATATGAAGTAATGTTTAGTCAAAAGGAAGGGACTCAAAGGTACTGATAACATTGCTTCCTCGTGTTTCAGAAGAGTTGCCATTAATGAAGTGGTATTTGGGGTCTCTCTCTGTACTCCTTCACTCCTTTAATCTTCTAGCTAGGATTGTCTGTTTTGTTACTCAAAACACACAGTTTACCAGATGGTGCTATTCTGATAGTTTTTGTTCACATAAATTAACATTCTTCTCATTGCTTATACTGTATACATATTTAATTTTATAGGAGCATGAAGGTTTTTCAAGACAAGATCATTTTGTATTAGTGTAGGAATATTACATTAGACATGTTCATTCAGTTTAGCTGGCCGAATTAAATGCTTGATTAAGATATTTGTAATTTTAAACATCACAAATTGACCAGCTAGCTACTGGGGCATAAATTAATTGGTAAACAATGTTGGAAATAACTTACTTAAATTTCTGTCTTTGTTGACTTACAGCCTTTAACACCATTTTAGCGTATTGAAGTAAATGCTGCTTACAATTTGTCCGATTCAGATTTCTGTGTTTCAGAGCTTACTGGGTCATTTTTACGTGGTAGAAACCTATTGTGTAGTTATGTGTTGTCCAAATGCTGTTCTTTATTTATCTCAAATCTGGACCCTTACTGGACTAGGAAGTAGTTAAACTTATGAACCAAGAGAAGTAGGAGTGGGATAGGATAGGGAGGGCAGTGAGATTGCAGGAAGTAGGAAAGAGAAAAATCAGTGTTCGAGTGTAGAGAAAAAAAGAGGATCATGTAGTTTTCATCAAAGCAAGAAGTTGAGTGTATTTAATCGAACAATAAAAAGGGTATATCGACTTACCAGTTTTTAGAGTAGTTTAATGGATAATTGCTTTGTAAATCATAGGCTTTAATAGAGCTTGCTTTTTTTTTTTTTTTTAAATCCAGAAGGAAAAGCACTTATCTTCTGAGTGTCTAAAATATTTTATAGTAATAATTTTGTAAAAATCGAATTTTGGAGTAGAATTTTGACCATATATAAATCAAGAAACACCTGAATTATCTTAGTAGTTTGTGTTTGCAAGACCTAAACTCATGGTAAACATCAAGTTTCTAAAATTTTGGGATTACTGCATTTCTTCTCTCCTTCCCCTTCGTTAAAGTATTGATAACAATAATAATTGAGTAAGTTTTAAATGTCTTTAAATTGGAAGGGTTTGTTATTTCATCTTGAGCCAGGGAGGAGAAACAAATTTTAAACATTGGAATTAGGGGCTCTGAATTTGTACTAAATTGAGACGGTAATAGATTTTCACAAATTATGTGTGCCTTGTTGTTAAAAATGTCAGTTGTTTTCAGTCTACTTGTTCGAAATATTTTTTTTCTCTTAAAAAAAGCAATCTAATTTCATTTGCTTGAATGTTATGATAGGAATGCTTACTGATATTACTTGATAATCATATATAGACTTGGAACTTTAAGGTATATATACACATATGTAACTAGCAGTATTAATAATTACAGTTGTACTTCTTTAAAACATTAAATTTGAGGAAACTATTAAATTCTGTCTCGTGTACATTGCTTTGTTACGGTGAGGGAAAACTTTAGAATGAGCCTCAATTTACTGATAAATTGTTAGTAGTGGATGAAAATACATTGCAAAAATCTGAACTAGATAGTGAAGCTGATGAAATTGTAAGTTGCTACATTGGCATTTTCTACCTCCTTTTCTGTCGGAGTGTTACATTTTGCAGCATTTATTCTTATTCATAAGTAGCAAATGAGAACCTGAGGTTAAAATTAAGGTTTTTGTTTTGAGAATTTAAATAGTAGGTACAGGGGAAGCGACTTGCTACAGCAATTTGGTGCCTAAATCCGTGACTACAAGTTACAATTGACGTGTACAAAATGTGTAAGAAAGACAGTACTGCTGAGTATTTCACTTTTCCTGTACAGTCTACTTGATTTTGTTTCATAAACACGATTTCTTTCCTCCAAAAAGCAAAATGGTCTTGTAATTTTTTATAAAACAAACAAACGTGCCATTTTGTCTGAGATCTATAATTTCAGGAAGCTATTGGAAGTTCTGACTCAGGGCTTTTTAACAGTTTAAGCAATTGTTAAATACACTTTGGAAAAATCCATCTAAATAACTCTTCAGTGCCTTGAAAGAATTATTGACTTGGCAACAAGCATTAACCCTTTACAGAAAGTGGTCTTCAGTGCGTGTGCGTCATCATACACATTTATAAGTCGTGTTGTTTGGCCCCTGTAATCACGATCCTGTATGTGTGCTGGGTTTGGGTAATTCTTTAAAGGAAATTTTCTAGATTTGCACTGGTATTTGTTTTTAAAGACTGATTATTAATGGCCATGACACTGTTACCAGAAAAGTAATTCTACGTTAAGTCATTATGCAAAGTAGTGTGAGTAGCATCTGGGAAGAGGAGATAGAGTTCATACAGGTTGCTAGTTTAGTACGATAGAAAGATCTGTTTGGTAAACACAGATTATCCTCCCTTCAAATGAAAAAAACACCCTTTTGTTCAAATGATTGTTTTTTTTAAAACCTTTTTAAAAGAAAATTATGAATTGCATGTCATTCTTAATGCTAGGCTTGCTTAGGCTGAATCTACAATATTGATTTTCTGCTAACTTCAGTATGCTTGTGCCATTCTAAATGCAGTACATTTGGTGATAGAAAGCAGTTTTATTGACTCAGAGCAGTGTTTTGCTTTGTGTTTTTTCCAGTGTTTTAAGCTTTTACTGTCAATTAAATTTAAAGTCTTGTTTGTGAGTATAGTTTCTGTATGACAAATGATTCTTGCTTGTTAGCCTTTGTTTAAAAAAAAAAAAAAAGCTTAGCAGGAGCTAAGCTTTTTAAAATAAATGCAAACATTTTACCATTAGTAAAACCTATGATATAATATTATGTAATGCTGTACTTTGATCTTTCGAAAACTTTTTTATAGATCTACACGAGTTTTGATTCTTAAGACATAAAGCACATCTCAATATGTCAAATCTGTTATTATTGGAAAGGAAATCACCATGTCTTAGAGAAACAAGGAACTATATCCCCAACTCAGTAGAAGAAATAGGTGTCAACATCTACAAGACTTTATTGCGATTGTTTACATTTAAAGTACCTCCATCTAAAGGGACAAAAACTCTTTAACACCTTACACCTTTCAGGATTAAGCTGTATTGTGACTATTCTGAGTAGCATAGATTTGATATAAAGTAAACCAACCTGTCAAGGAGACTCAACTTTTTTCTATAAAAAGTTTATTCCTCTTCACAACACAGATGTAGATTTCGTTTTCAAAAGGTACACATTTTAAAGCAGTGATTTATCAATTTAATAGAAGCATGTGCTTGTGAAATTATTGGTAGGTTGTCTAGTTCCAGTTCAAAAGATTAATTATGTGTATCTTGGATGTTTAGGAGGAAAACATCTGAAACAAAATCTTCGAATTGTTTGTTTGAAATAAAGCATATGTATTCCAACTTTAAAATTGTGAATTTATTTTGGATAACCTCTAACTGTATTTTTTTTTTTAAATTTCTATTGCTGTATAATTAGATATTTCATGGCAATATTTTTATTGAAACTGTGTATAGGTTTTTAAAATAAAGGCAATTTAGAAAATGTGTTTTATATTTTTTATCATGGATAGTTACTCATCCTTCACATAGGTTAAAATTATAGCATAGCATTTTCCAAAACTTAAAATTTGACAATGAAAATTTTCATGTTGACAGAGCACCAGTAGAAGTTTATAAGATATAATGAATGCATGGATTAAAGTAGAACACTAAAAATGATCTCTCAGGTAAGTTAATTGCTGAAGAATGATTATTTGACTCATAGCATGTCCCTTTATGACAAAACTATTTAAAAACTCATTTTTAAGGGCAAAAATATATTAAACATAATATGAATGTATAAGTAAGACAGGACCTGTCTGTAACAGAGGCCATCAATCACTGAGTCCATTACATAACAATGAAAGAAACAGGCAACTTTCTCAAAGGAAATTTTCAAGTTAATATAGATACTACTTTTCATATATTGAAGATTAAAGAGCATTGCCGTCCCTTCTTCCTTTCCTCTCTTCTTCCCATCAAGCACCAGTTAATAACTTGAGTGGAACTATAGATGAGGTTAACCCTAATTTGATACGGAAATCGAGATCAGCCGAATCAGAGTGCCTTTGCCTACTGATTGTGACCGTACTGTACTGAAGAAAGATTATGTATGAAGTTCAGAAAGGTTATATGCTCTCAATATGTTACAGCACAAGAGTATTGTATTAGTTTCCTATTGCTCCTGTAACAAATTGCCACAAACTTAACTGGCTTCAAACAACACAGATTTATTATCTTACAGTTCTGGAGGTCAGAAGTCTGACATGGGTCTCACTGGGCTAAGATCAAGGTGTTGGCAAGGCTGTATTCCCTTCTGGAGGCTTTATGGCAGAATCCATTTCCTTGCCTTTTCCAGCTTCTAGAAGCTGTCTGCATTCTTTGGCTTGTGGCCCTTTCCATCTTCAAAGCCAGCATAGCTGTTTGTCTCTCACATAGCATCACTCTAATACTGACTCTTCTTTTGCCTCTCCTTCCACTTTTAAGGATCCTTGTGATTATATTGAGCCTACCGAGATAACCCAGAATAATCTATTTCAAAGTTAGCTGATCCAAAAAAATCCCTGTTGCCATTGAGTTGATTCTGACTCCCAGCCAGTATATAAGGACAGTATAGAACTGCCCCCATAGGATTTTTGAGGCTCTAAAAACAGACTGCTTTTTTTTCTGTCAAGTGTCTGGTGGGTTCAAACTGTTGACCTTTTGGTTAGCAGCTGAGCACTTAACTACTGCACCACCAGAGCTCCAAGTTAGCTGATAAGCAACCTCAATTCCCTGTTGCCATGCAACATATTCGCAGGTTCCAGGAACTAGGACATGGACATCTTGGGGACCATTGTCTCCCACAGTTTAGATGGGAATTTGGGCCTGTGTGACTGAATATTCTACATGTAGAGAAAATGTTAACAAAGGATTTAGAGAAGATATGATTTCTTCAAGAGGTTAACTTAAATCCACCAAAATTAACAGAAGTGAATAATATATAGTCAGTATGAATGTGAAATGAATGTCAAAGAAAAGCTTGCTCAGAATTCTGAGTATATGTTGTAGAGGAAAATGTTAATGCTGTATGCAGTTTAGAAAAATGCTGGTCTGCTACATATTGATCCTTATTTAGTTTCATATTTTATATGGGTGATCTCACCATTACTATGATTTTAACTACCATCTTATGTTGATAAGACTCCTGATTCTGTATCCTAAGGTTCTTATTTCCAAGAATCATCTCTTCAGCATCTCTATTTGAGTAGATATCCAGGCACTTCAAACCTAATATGTTTCAAACTGAAAACTGGCTATTTCTAATATACTTGTGTTCATTAATAGTATTATTATCCAGTTTCTGAAACTGTCAAATATTCAGTCATATTTGACTACTCTTTTATCACATCTAATTATTTGCTGGATCCTGTGTTTGCTTCTTCGGGAATATCTTGAATCCAGTCCTCATCTCCTCTTCCACTGCCTTTGTCAAGGACTTCATCAGGTCTTCCTGAATAATTGCAAAAGTATCCCATCTGATCTCACTGCTAATGGGCCCATCCCACTTCAGTCTTGCCTCCATAGTGCCACAAGAATTATTGTCCTTTAAGAAGTAGTTTTTTTTTGTTGTTTGTTTTTTAAAAAAGTTTGGCTTAAAAAATTCCACTTGGTGCTGGCATAACTGGATATTCACCTATAAAAAAATGAAACAAGATCCATACCTCATGCCATACACAAAAACTAAAAATGGATCGAAGACCTAAATATAAAATCTAAAACGATAGAGATCATGGAAGAAAAAATAAGGACAACATTAGGGGCCCTAATACATGGCATAAATAGTATACAAATGATAACTAACTGCACAAACAACAAGAAACTAGATAACTGGGAGCTCCTAAAAATTAAACACTACGCTCATCAAAAGACTTCACCAGAAAGAGTCAAAAGATAACCTACAGACTGCGAAAAAAATCTTTGGCTGTGACATATCTGACAAGGATCTAATCTCTAAAATCTACAAAATACTTCAACACCTCAATAATGAAAAGACAATCCAGTTAAAAAATGGGCAAAGGATATGAACAGATGCATCACCAAACAAGACATTCAGGCAACTGAAAGAGACATGAAGAAATGCACACAATCATTAGACATTAGAGAAATGAAAATCATAACTGCAATGAGATACCATCTCACTCTGACATTAACGGCACGAATCAAGAAAAACAAATGGAGAGGTTGTGGGGAGGTTGGAACTCTTATGTACTGCTGGTGGAAATGCAGAATGGTACAACTACTTTGGAAAGCGATATGGCCCTTCCTTAAAAAAATAGAAATACCGTATGATCCAGCAATCCCACTCCTAGGAGTATACCTTAGCAAAGTAAGAGCCGTCACATGAATAGACATATGTACACTCATTCATTGCAAGTCACCATAGTCTTAGGGGGCATCTAGGTCAATTGGCATAACAGTTCATAAAGAAAATGTTATACATCTCAATTTGTTGAGTAGCGTCTGGGGTCTTAAAAGCTTGCTAGCGGCCATCTAAGATACATCTATTGGTCTTATCCTGTCTGGAGCAAAGGAGAATGAATAAAACCAAAGATAAAAGGAAAATATTAGTCCAAAGGACTAAAGGACCACATGAACCAGAGCCTCCTCTAGCTTGAGCCCAGAAGAACTAGATGGTGCCCGGCTACAACCACTGACCACTCTGACAGGGATCACAATACAGGATTCCAGACAGAGCAGGAGAAAAACGTAGAACAAAATGCAAATTCATGAAAAAAGTCCAGACTTACTGGTGTTACAGAGACTGGAGGTATCGCTGAGACTGTGGCCCCCAGCCACGCTGTTAACCCAGAACTGAAACTACTCCTGAAACCCACTTTTCAGACAAAGATTAGGCCTATAAGACAAGCAGAAACCCTGGTGGCGTAGTGGTTAAGAGCAAAAGGTCGACAGTTCAAATCCACCAGGCGCTCCTTGGAAACTCTATGGGGCAGTTCTACTCTGTCCTACAGGGTCGCTAGGAGTCGGAATTGACTCAATGGCAATGGGTTTTTGGGTTTTTATAAAACAAACAATAACGTGAAGAATGTGCTTCTTAGTTCAATCCAATATACAAGACCAAATGGGCAACTCCTGCCCAAAAGCAAGATGAGAAAGCAGGAAGGGACAGGAACTGGATGAATGGACATGGAACCAAGGGTGAAAAGGGGGAGCATGCTGTCACATTGTGGGGATTGCAACCAATGTCACAAAACAATATGTGTATAAATTTTTGAATGAGAAATTAACTTGAGCTGTAAACTTTCACCTAAAGCACAATTAAAAAAAAACAAAACTCACTGTTTCTGCTGTTTTTTATACACAAGACATCTAAGCTCTTTAGTTTGGCATAATAGTAATGATGGCATGGGCTTAAAAGTCAAAACCGGGGCTGGATTCTGTCTCTATCACTTAGTGTCATTAGGACTTCTGGTCAGGTTGGCACAGTGAGATTATGCTTTGACATGTACCCTCTGCTGCAAGCACCCAGCAATGAGAGAGAAATAAAAAAGAAAATCCAAAAGATATAACCGGAGCTGCTCTTTTCTGCAATGTCAGTCTAGGTAATTCCAAAATCTTACTATAAAACATCTGAAAATTCAGGATTAAAATATTTAAACATCCTTATGAAGGCATAGTTCAACTCACAAGGAAACAAGGGAAATCCTCAG